GAATGAATTTTTCGGATCACCGTGGTGGTTAGGTAAATCATTACGCTCTCAGTACATAGTGCTGGTGACGACATTCGACTAAGTCAACTCCAAATGTTTTGCACAGTTTAGTCCACAGCCCAAGGTGTCATGCCACAGGTTAAGTTTGCACTCTACAGTAAAACGTTACATTGTACACAGCCGAGTTCACAGCTGTAAAGCAGCCATACACAAGCAATTCTAACAACGTATGATGACCCGCACGTATCTCCAATTGACAACGTACAAGTTCGAGACATTATTTAACTTAAGAAAAAACAGTGGGCATGGGGGTACAACACGTCGCGAGAAGGGTTGACGGCAGGTGGTGAGGACTAAGTGAGGAAACCTACTCAAGAAGGCATCCACCAGACATTGATTGATAACATCGACGACGAAGCTGAAGCTAGACGGATATTTGCATCGAATGACTATGACAGATGTTGTTGTCATGGAAGCCTTCGTTCAGTAGTCATGTCCCAGGGTCCCGCATAATGTATTCCTCAGCTTCTAATTTACCACGAGCCCTCAATTTCGAATTCCCTACACACTGATGGGTTCACGTCTCCAGGAGCTGCAGTTAAATCCACAGTCTCATGTTCTTCGGTATTGCACAAACGTAAGTTCCATACTCTTGATGGGTAACCTATGTCCATAGCCGTGGTCGTGTCTCTCAATCCCATGTGTCCACAGGCGTTCAAGTGCCACAGGTGAGTCAAACAGCCCTGATACGCTGAACCTCTTTTGCGCCGTACGTAGCCAACCGTGCTAAATCGGAGGTGTATAATGGCTATCGCTGCAGGCCTTAGCTTGCCGGGCACAGTCCAAATACAAAAGAAGAGCTACACACAGCTACAGTAGCCTAGAAGCGCTTGACGACAGCAGCAGAACCCTCATACAGTACAGCAATATACAGCTGCAACTCTTTCAGACACTACACCGATTAAAACGGGTCCCACGGCGCCAATGCAGCCACGCAGCGACAAACAGCGCCTCGCTCGTCTAACCAGTCACTTCACTGGACATCTGTGAAAACTTGCTTTGTAGCTCATACGATCCATCCAGTATAAATATTCTGACTGTGATAATGAAGCCAATCGCTGACAAAGAGTACCTCACTTGTACGACGGCCATTCACCCATACGGCCACTCCCCTCCTACAGTACAGGTACCTCGCTGAATATGATGGCAGCGAGCTACGTAGCGCCTGATAGCTACACCTCTACATCTCCTCGTTGCCAGCTAAGCACAGCTTTCGTCAATGGTGCAGCGACAATCGTACGTCTTAACCTCTTTTGCGGCAGGCAGCTGAGGTCACAGCAGAGCGGACGGGGCAGTCTTCTTGCCGGGGCCTGGTTGGAAGGGGGATCGATCCTAACAGAATCGTTGACAGAGAAATCGATTCTCGATGACGTGTACGTCAAGGCGTTCGTAATCGATTCCGGTTTTTAATTATTAAATGGAGTCGATTTGAAATATTGAAAAGTACTGTACGCGATTATTTTTGTTGTAATAATTACTGATTTTTAAATTGGCAGTCGTTATACATTCCCCTTGTTCGTTATCGATTGAGGTATTAAATGTCACTTGTTACGAATCCTAGGCCCCGTTGAATGCATATAACTGTGCGTTGAACTTAAATACCTTATTATATCTTATTACAGACCAATTAAGATCTCATTGGTCACCCCGTCCCGTTATAAATCTCAACGTTCATCCTACAAAGTCCCATCACAAGGGAGAAACACAAACAGTACATTTTGTTGACCGTATTGAAATGGCTGTACGCCGTATGGACCAGAAAACTAATTTTTTCCTCGTACAAGAATACGGCTAAACCGTGTGGGTTCACACGGATCAACTTAAATTTCGATTTGAAGCTTTCGTGACTGCAGGGATTCATATTCTTGGTTCTTTCGGTAAAGTCACCACGTAGAAGGGAAATAATAACATAATACAAATTAAACAATAAAATTCTCACGACGTTTCGATTGCAACACAAATAATAATCATCAGGTGTGATGATGATTATATTGGTAGGGACCTCCTGGTTACACCAACAGCCCACAGGGGATTATTGTGTCCGTCCGTCCGTCGTCCATCCTAAAATGAGAGGGGTGGGGCTGGGTGGGGAGGGGCTGGGTGGGGAGGGGCTGGTCACCCCGTGGTGCCCTTATAAAACTCAACGTTTAACCTACTCACGCCGGCTTGTGCCCGCCCTCACAGTCGGGTATATTTGCGGAATACACCACGCCGCCGTTGACCCTGGCCATTGACCGAGCAACCCAACGTTCCTACCAGCTCCCTCCGCAGGAATGTGTTTATTTCCCTTCTACGTGACTTTACCGAAAGAACCAAGAATATGGATCAACTTCTTTCGCGCCGCACGTAGCCAAGCGCCCTGATCAAGAGGTGCGGAATTCCCTTCGTCCACCGTGCGAGAGACGTTGAAGGCCAAACTGGTGAACTCATCGTCTCTGTCAACCCGTACGGTTTACGACCGTATTCTTGTACACTCCCCTCAGTGACAGCCTCATTGCTACCCGTTAACTCCCCTCAGTGACAGCCTCACTGCTACCCGTTAACTCCACCCAGTGACAGCCTCATGGCTGCCCGTTAACTCCCCTCAGTGACAGCCTCATTGCTACCCATTAACTCCCCTCAGTGACAGCCTCATGGCTGCCCATTAACTCCCCTCAGTGACAGCCTCATGGCTGCCCATTAACTCCCCCCAGTGACAGCCTCACTGCTACCCGTTAACTCCACCCAGTGACAGCCTCATGGCTGCCCATTAACTCCCCTCAGTGACAGCCTCATGGCTGCCCATTAACTCCCCTCAGTGACAGCCTCATGGCTGCCCATTAACTCCACCCAGTGACAGCCTCATGGCTACCCATTAACTCCCCTCAGTGACAGCCTCATGGCTGCCCGTTAACTCCCCTCAGTGACAGCCTCATGGCTGCCCATTAACTCCACCCAGTGACAGCCTCATGGCTGCCCATTAACTCCACCCAGTGACAGCCTCATGGCTGCCCATTAACTCCACCCAGTGACAGCCTCATGGCTGCCCATTAACTCCCCTCAGTGACAGCCTCATGGCTGCCCATTAACTCCCCTCAGTGACAGCCTCATGGCTGCCCATTAACTCCACCCAGTGACAGCCTCATGGCTGCCCATTAACTCCCCTCAGTGACAGCCTCATGGCTGCCCATTAACTCCCCTCAGTGACAGCCTCATGGCTGCCCATTAACTCCCCTCAGTGACAGCCTCATGGCTGCCCATTAACTCCACCCAGTGACAGCCTCATGGCTGCCCATTAACTCCCCTCAGTGACAGCCTCATGGCTGCCCATTAACTCCCCTAAGTGACAGCCTCATGGCTGCCCATTAACTCCACCCAGTGACAGCCTCATGGCTGCCCGTTAACTCCCCTCAGTGACAGCCTCATGGCTGCCCATTAACTCCCCTCAGTGACAGCCTCATGGCTACCCGTTAACTCCACCCAGTGACAGCCTCATGGCTGCCCGTTAACTCCCCTCGGTGACAGCCTCATGGCTGCCCGTTAACTCCCCTCAGTGACAGCCTCATTGCTACCCGTTAACTCCCCTAAGTGACAGCCTCATGGCTGCCCATTAACTCCACCCAGTGACAGCCTCATGGCTGCCCGTTAACTCCCCTAAGTGACAGCCTCATGGCTGCCCATTAACTCCACCCAGTGACAGCCTCATGGCTGCCCGTTAACTCCCCTCAGTGACAGCCTCATGGCTGCCCATTAACTCCCCTCAGTGACAGCCTCATGGCTACCCATTAACTCCACCCAGTGACAGCCTCATGGCTGCCCGTTAACTCCCCTCAGTGACAGCCTCATTGCTACCCGTTAACTCCCCTAAGTGACAGCCTCATGGCTGCCCATTAACTCCACCCAGTGACAGCCTCATGGCTGCCCGTTAACTCCCCTAAGTGACAGCCTCATGGCTGCCCATTAACTCCACCCAGTGACAGCCTCATGGCTGCCCGTTAACTCCCCTCAGTGACAGCCTCATGGCTGCCCATTAACTCCCCTCAGTGACAGCCTCATGGCTACCCGTTAACTCCACCCAGTGACAGCCTCATGGCTGCCCGTTAACTCCCCTCGGTGACAGCCTCATTGCTACCCGTTAACTCCCCTAAGTGACAGCCTCATGGCTGCCCATTAACTCCACCCAGTGACAGCCTCATGGCTGCCCATTAACTCCACCCAGTGACAGCCTCATGGCTGCCCGTTAACTCCCCTAAGTGACAGCCTCATGGCTGCCCATTAACTCCACCCAGTGACAGCCTCATGGCTGCCCGTTAACTGCCCCCACACTCACACCCACGAGCCCTGTTCACTCAGTAACAGCAAGTCGGGAGTCCCATCCCCCCCAGCTCGCCGCCGTGGTTGCCACCTCTCAACTTCTTTATACATCATCAGGATCGTGCTTCACCACAAATGCAATATATCAATTACCGTATATAACCTGTTGACTTTGTTGACGGAAGCACGCATTTTGCCTATCCATACTAACAATACGAGCGCCACGTTATTTAAAAATGTACACCGGATGAGCGCTGCACTGCTTGGGGGCACTTGTCGGCCATATTGGGTAAGACAACCGCACGAAACTAAGACGGACTTCTTGCTGTGGTTGTCCCACCTGATGACGGACGCTTGTGCTGCGCCCGAAACTTCGTGATTACATTTATTTTAGTTTTTATACCTACGTGACTTTACCAAAAGAACCAAGGAGCAAGTAAAACAAACTTAAAAGTTTGTCAATATCACTGCTGGCGCCTAAATAAAACATATTTACAGAACACGTTTCGGTCAGTGACCACTCCACAAATAGACGAGCTATATAGTGTGAATCTCCAAATAACTTGTTTAACAAAGAGACTGGCGGGGGTGGGCGGGTGGGTGGGGAGGTTTCCTATAGCAATTTTAAAATCGTCACTGCTCGGAAGTCTCCCTTCATAAGATGGCGCCCCACTCCTCCCGTGTCTGCCTGAGCTAGCATGGCTGAGCCGGAGCTCCGCTGGTGATGAGAGAGGAGGTGCCCGTGGTCACCCTGGAAGCGCGCAACAAGTCAAGAAAGAGCTTGGAAATTTGGCCGCAGGCTTTGGATGCGTTGCGACGGTCTGGAGCAGTTGAGGAGGTTCGGCGAGGCGAAAGTGTTAAGAGGTTCCATAATAAGGAGTGTGAGATCGATGTCTTGAACACTATTCGAGAAGTATTGGGGCGTTAGAGACCTGGATAACCTTTAAAGACTCTGCAGGGTTTTTTTTTGTGCGTGTGTGTTAGGTTCCATCCGAACTGCGTCAAGTCCCAGAGGAGGTGTCGGAGATGTTGGTAGAAGCTGGTGGACCTAACGGTGCTGGCAAAGTAGCGAGACGTTGGGGAGCCCGTTGATGTTGATGGGTGACCTGGTCGTGTTCCAATACCAGCAGGCAACCCGCGTTGGGAGGACCTCATGCTTCCGAAAAACCTGAACGTTCCGGAGGTGAGGACTCTTTGCTGGCGCCTCGCGTCGCCTTTAACGTCTCCTTTTACGCCTTCATCGTCACGACGACAGCCGAGGATGCACAGGCCGCCCCGGCCAGCGCAGTCATGAGCGGCCGCAATTCCAAGCAGAAGACTCTCTTCCAGAGCTGGGGGGGCAGGCTGGGCAGTGCGGACGGTGCAGTGGGAACGTCGTCGTCGTCTCAAGGAAGGTCATCGTCAGTAAAACCATGGACTTCCAAGCGAGGAGCTGGGGTCAGGCGAGGAGCCGTGGGCTCCGGGAGGCATGCGGGACACTGGGCTAGTGCAAGCTCTGGTCGGGGGCCGTCGTTATGGACCGGTCCTGAAACCAAAGAGGGTCAGCAGACCTCGTTCAGGCAGCAGGTCGACTTTGGTGGCTACGTTGGCGACGATGATGACGACGACGACGTGTTGATGGTGGCCGCGGCTGAGGTCGAGGCGGCGTCTGGGAGAGACGTCAAGGGACACCAGGAGGTGGAACACCTGGCCGGATTTGACGTGAGCTCCGGTGACATCTGGATCTACCCGACAAATTTCCCGGTGCGCGAATATCAATACAGCATCGTTCAGACGGCGCTCTTCAACAACACGATGGTGTGCTTGCCCACCGGCCTGGGCAAGACGTTCATCGCCGCCGTGGTGATGTACAACTTCTACCGGTGGTACCCGTCCGGCAAGATCCTCTTCATGGCTCCCACCAAACCGCTGGTAGCACAGCAGATGGAGGCGTGTCACAACGTGATGGGCATCTCGCAGGAGCACATGGCGGAGATGACGGGTGATTATTGTGTGTGTGTGTCTGTGGATTGCTTCGATGGTGGCGGTGGTTGGTTGGGATGATAATTGAGTGGTTCAGAATCGGAACCTTTTTTTTAGACTGGAGGAATCCAATGAGCTCTGAAACTCTTTTCACAAATGTCCAGTAGGGGGGGGGGGTCGGCAAGCTGCAACAACAAACTTGGGGAGCGGGGGTTTTTTTGTGGTGGAGGTACCGGTAATGATGGTAATTTTGATGAAGGTTTTCGGAATGGTGGTCTTTGTGGTATTTGTGGTGTTGGTAGTAATGGTGGGTATATTTGTGCTGGCTTATAGATCGTGGCTGCTGATAGAGGATGCGTATGTACAATCTACAACTGATGTCATTTTATTATCAGTTTGCATGTTCACCACATGTACGCGTGCTTAATGTAGAATTTATTCCTTGCAAAAGGTTTCTACTTGGTGTTTGAACATGTTAGCACCTGTTTTATAGCCAGAACGGGTAAAAAACACTATTATTTTGAATTCATTGATACTGACAAAAAAAGGTCCCATTGTGTCATTTTCCTTTCACGCTTTTCCTTGGTAGGCAGCACCATGGCTTCAGACCGCCAGGCCATCTGGGCGAGGAAACGGCTCTTCTTCTTGACTCCGCACGTAATGAAGAACGACCTCTGCAGTGAAGCTTGCCCTGCGGCGGCCGTCAAGTGCTTGGTCGTCGATGAAGCCCACAAAGCGATGGGAAACTACTCCTATTGCCAGGTTAGGTCCCATTGTCGGAGCTCATCCTTCATTTTGGTTTGTATGGCATCGTGAGTAGCTCCTGGAATTTGCTCAGTCTCGTTAGATTTTAGACACTAAGCAGGGCTGAGCCTGGATGGTGCTTGGATCGGTGACCACCATGCATAAACATGGTATTGTAGGATGCTGTTGAGCTATGTTTTCAGCAGACCAAAATCCGATGTCATTTACAATGCCCCTAACATGCTGTTCGTCTTCAGAAACTCATATTGATCATCATGGTGAAGTATGGTCGTTTAACCTGCATGACGCAGTACAGCGTAGGGAGTTCCTCATTCAGCAGTGGATTGCCAAAAAGACTGTACCTTCTGCATGCTAGTTGCTACATGAATCCAAATAGTACTGTTGTAAAACTGCCTTTCGCTATCTTAAAATAAACGTTAGGATTACCCTAGATTTCCCGACTCTGCTGGCTCGTTAACACACGTGCGCTGTACTCGGTGTCCATGGCAGGTGGTGAAGCAGCTCGTTGGTTACTCACGCCAGTTCCGCGTCCTTGCTCTGAGCGCGACGCCTGGCAATGATCGGCAGGTGAGCCTCCCCACCCCACTGGGACACATGCTTTTGTCGACTGTTGGTTCTGCTCTCACTTGAACACCAGAGGGACTTTCTAACGCCATCCTACAGGTCCCGGTTGAAGGGTACCAGGACAGAGAGGTCGGGCCGTGGAGCAGCTGGATGATGAACGCCGTGTTTTGGCCAGGGAAATTGATGATGGATGTTGTGCAGATCGCAAATGACTGCAATAGGTGGAAGGTGTTGATTACTAAAGCATCATTACATACTTGGCAGCTCACTGATTCTAAAAAAACATTTTACCACATGCTACTTTGGCAAAGCTAATTCTACTTCTTCATAACATCAATAAAATAACTAGTATTTTTTGCTTTTAAAATCTATTTGCAGTAAAACGGTTTAACAATTGGCAGCTTACTGCTTAAATCGGTTGGGTTGCCAAGTGCGTCACTGGCGCCCCCACGACCCTGGTTAAAGGGACTGATTACGATGGTGATGATGAATGCTGTGAATTGATTGTCTGCTGGTAATGGTCAGTTCTTGCCGATAACCCAGGATACCCCAGCAGTGTTGTTGGTTAACAAGCGGTGCACTGCTGAAACTTACAAAAAAAAAACGGCTTATTGCATGATGAGGTTCGTTTATACTTTCCTGTGTCCGGATTAACAACTAGTAGCAGGATTAGTGTCAATTTTCCTTTGTTTTTTATTAACACAGCGTGTTAATTTAGTTTTATTTGTGAATATTGGCTTGTAAATGTGTGCCACTCGTATTCCAACCATCCAATTCCGCCGTTATCTCTTTGCGGTGCCGCAGTCTGTTCAGCAGGTTCTAAACAACCTCTTGATCTCACGTGTGGAGCTGCGCTCTGAGGACTCCCCCGACATCCTGCCCTACTCGCACGAACGCGTCGTCGAGAAGATCGTGGTCGAGCTGGACGAGGAGCTGTCAGCCATCAGGGTGCAGTATCTCAAGGTACAGCTCCCACGATCGTCCCTCTAATACAGTGTTCTTCATTGCAAGGCCCGCGGGCCACTGGCAGCCCCTGGTGGCCTTTGGTGCGGCCTCTGACGTGCGGCCCCCGATAATACATCCCATCATGCTGTCAAACTCAGTGGTTGCAAATGTGTGCAGCCTTCACGCTGATGTCTTATTGTTGAAAGTGGCCCCCCTCTGTAAATTAGTGAAGAACACTGCTCTAGCATCTGCTCGGTGAGGTATGGTTTGTAATGGTCCTCGCTAAAGCCAGGCTTTCTGATTATATAACTAATCGTTTACTCTACCTATTAATAATTGTTTCATTTAGTGTGTATGTATTCCCACCTCTTCCATGACCTGTGGCCAACGTAAAAGATAGGCCAAATTACTTTATATAGCTCACTAGTAGAAGCCTTCCCCCTTGAATTTTCTGGACGGGAGAGTACGTCGATGGGAGTAGAGTGAGTTGAGTGGGGAGAGATGGGCAGGGGGCTCCTGAAGATGTTGAGTGCGATCTTGAAATGGATTCAAGATTGGAGTTGGGATCCAGTGGAAGGATCAGTGCACTGAAGGCATGTGGTTTCGTTTATGGGTGCGGGTGAGGTTTCTGGCAACCACATTTTGCAAACAAATCCAGACAGATCCTCGTATTTTTCACACACATCCTAACTCTTCTTTCCCCCTTTCGGGCACAATGATGTCCTACAGAAAAACGTACTCGTGAGACATAGAATTAAGACACTGCATTTCGTTCACGTGTACGTACATTTATTTATCTCGCAGTCGGATGATCACATTTAAATACATCAAACGTACGCATACTGGCCAAGCAAAGCAATCGAGAGCCAGGGAACTACAAGATGCCCAGTGTGATGGCGACGCTAGGTAGAAGCATCTGATGTGGAGACGCGTCTGGTGATGTCCACATGCCTTAAACCGGATCTCGTGTATGTGTCATGTGAGTCGTATACCTAGTTTGAAAACTCAAGCTACTGTCAGTTTTATTGTCCTGACATCGTGACAGATGGGGTACCCATAGCTGCTGCACATTCAACTCGCAGAGATACAAAGCCGGGTGCCCCGATGACGGATTCAAGGCACTAATTCTGTGCCTGTGGTGCTGTTTTTATTCACTACCATAGTGGACGACATTTGTGCTAGTTCCCGATTTGAGCGGTAAAATCTCACACGCTCTTGTTTTACATACATTCACAAAGACGACACAAAGCACTTTTATCTCAGCAGCAGACAATGTGCTTGACAAGAGTATTTTGACTGCAAGACCCCTTTTACAGCCACATACTAATGTTGTCTCTGAGCTCTCAGAAACGTAATTCTCACTTGCTTCCTCTAAAACCACTTGTTCTTCTCGAAAATGCATTAAGTGATAGACACAGCTTCAGACTTGTTTCCGCTACAGAATGTACCCATGAAAAGTGCCCTTCGCCTTGTGTGTACAATTTTTGTTTTCCTGTTGTGGTTGTTGGTTTGTTAAAAATATATTTTACTCCGCCAGATGATGCTAGGTGTATAAAGCTTTTTATATGTAATTTTTTTCTTACATTCGCTGCCAAAGCTGAACATTTAAACAGCCAAACAAACAACCCACCCTGCAAACTACATTCATCATGCCTTAGAACAGGCCTCACAGATCAAAACTGTTAAATAAAAGTAGAAAAAAGCAAAGGATTAAGAGGTTGTGCCCTCCTTATGGTTACAAATGTCATGTCACGTTTTAAAACTTTAAACTATGTAGGTCTCTTACATAATGCACAGCTTATGAACAAATTTGATGCAGAATCACCACACTAGCATGTATTGGAATAGACTTTTAAACATAGCATAACTCATGTTATTCCCATTGAAACACTATGCGTTTGAGATGGAGTTTTTTGGTACAGGACTGGCTAAGAGCTACGAATGTATGAAATGAAAACTGCTTCTGAAATTGAAGTTTACAATCTGAGGGGCCCACAAGACTTCTCACCTTGTGCCCTGAAAACTTTAACCTGCGATCCAGTGACATGGTTTTAGACCAATTTGTCCACATGGCTTAGATCCGGAATGTGTTGCGTTCCGGAGAGCACTGCAATGACTTTACAATTCGTTGTTGCTTCGCCATCAAATGCAGACTATGCAGGGCTTAATTTCTCACTTTAATATTTTCTTGGTCGTTAGTAGAGTGACTGGAGTAGATGGCATGTGACTAGTAGCCACAGCTATAGCGAGGTATGATAAATGTGGTGTGCCAGTTGCAGATATGTTTTCCGGGTCACTGACTCGAACAGTTCTGAATGACAATAATCCCTGCGAATACAATTTGTTAGCAACTGTTAGTAATAATGCCATCTAATGTCAGAAACACTCTTAAACTATCGTATTTGAAATAGGCTACTGCAAATGAGGGTCTCATTGAATCGAGACTAATGCCCCTCTGTCATCTTGTGCATAAGAGATTGCTGCAGCTGCAACCACCTCGGAAACATCATTACCTCATTCACAGGTTTTGTTTGGGTTTTGTTTGTCACTTATAAAACCACTGACCTAAAAAATATGGAACTAAAAAAACCCGTAGTCTGAGACTGAGAAATAAGTGGCTGGTTTCCATAAAATCTACAGACATGTGCAAGTGCAGTAGCAACATGGATATACAGTGAGAGAAAAAATTATTTGATCCCCTGCTGATATTTGTACGTTTGCCCACTGACAAATAAATGATCAGTCTTTAATTTTAATGATAGGTTAATTTGAACAGTGAGAGACAGAATAACAACAACAAAATCCAGAAAAATGCATGTCAAAAATGTTATGAATTGATTTGCATTTTAATGAGGGAAATAAGTATTTGACCCCCTCTCAATCAGATTTCTGGCTCCCAGGTGTCTTTTATACAGGTAACGAGCTGAGATTCGGAGCACTCCCTTTAAGAGTGTGCTCCTAATCTCAGCTCGTAACCTGTATAAAAGACACCTGTCCACGGAAGCAATCAATCAGATTCCAAACTCTCCACCATGGCCAAGACGGACCAAAGAGCTCTCCAAGGATGTCAGGGACAAGATTGTAGACCTACACAAGGCTGGAATGGGCTACAAGACCATTGCCAAGTAGCTTGGTGAGAAGGTGACAACAGTTGGTGCGATTATTCGCAAATGGAAGAAACACAAAAGAACTGTCAATCTCCCTCTGCCTGGGGCTCCATGCAAGATCTCAGCTCGTGGAGTTGCAATGATCATGAGAACGGTGAGGAATCAGCCCAGAATTACACGGGAGGATCTTGTCAATGATCTCAATGCAGCTGGGACCATAGTCACCAAGAAAACAATTGGTAACACACTACGCCGTGAAGGACTGAAATCCTGAAGTGCCCGCAAGGTCCCCCTGCTCAAGAATGCACATATATCTTCTTTGGTTCTTTCGGTAAAGTCACGTAGAATGAGAATAAAATAATAAAATAACACAATAAAATTCTCACGACGTTTCGGCCACAATTCTACGTGACTTTACCGAAAGAACCAAAGAAGATGAATCCTTGCAGTCACGAAAGCTTCAAATCGAAATGCACATATACATGCCCGTCTGAAGTTTGCCAATGAACATCTGAATGATTCAGAGGACAACTGGGTAAATGGGTAAATGGGTAAAAAGTGTTGTGGTCAGATGAGACCAAAATGGAGCTCTTTGGCATCAACTAAACTCGCCGTGTTTGGAGGAAGAGGAATGCTGTCTATGACCCCAAGAACACCATCCCCCACTGTCAAAGATGGAGGTGGAAACATTATGCTTTGGGGGTGTTTTTCTGCTAAGGGGACAGGATAACTTCACCGCATCAAAGGGACGATGGATGGGGCCATGGACCGTCAAATCTTGGGTGAGAACCTCCTTCCCTCAGCCAGGGCATTGAAAATGGGTCGTGGGTGGGTATTCCAGCATGACAATGACCCAAAACACACGGCCAAGGCAACAAAAGAGTGGCTCAAGAAGAAGCACATTAAGGTCCTGGAGTGGCCTAGCCAGTCTCCAGACCTTCATCCCATTGAAAATCTTTGGAGGGAGCTGAAGGTTCGAGTTGCCAAACGTCAGCCTCGAAACCTTAATGACTTGGAGAAGATCTGCAAAGAGGAGTGGGACAAAATCCCTCCTGAGATGTGTGCAAACCTGGTGGCCAACTACAAAAAACGTCTGACCTCTGTGATTGCCAACAAGGGTTTTGCCACCAAGTACTAAGTCATGTTTTGCAGAGGGGTCAAATACTTATTTCCCTCATTAAAATGCAAATCAATTTATAACATTTTTGACATGCGTTTTCTGGATTTTCTTGTTGTTATTCTGTCTCTCACTGTTCAAATAAACCTACCATTAAAATTATAGACTGATCATTTCTTTGTCAGTGGGTAAACTTTCAAAAATTCAGCAGGGGATCAAATACTTTTTTCCCTCACTGTAGAGGGCTCAGTGGTTTTGGTTGTTGTCTTTAGAGTGGGTCCACATCTGAGCGATGAATCGCTTATATGTGGACATTTCTGTAACAATTGCACAACCAATTGCTTAAAGTAGAACAAACTGAATTAAAGTGATTCGCTCAGCGAAATTTTATAGTGACATCCTTCATCACATGCACATTTGCAAACAATGCTTGGTTGTGACAATCCTGACGTGGGTGTTGGTGCAGTGGGGGGGCTAAACAGAAAATGGGTGGGGCTGTACGCAAGTTGGCTAGGTCAGACCTTTAGCGATGGCAAATAAGTCCTTGTTGCGCAAATTCTTGCTCAAATGTGGACAAAGCAGTTGGAGGTGAATAAGTTCTCTATTTAGATTGATTTGTTAGCGCAAAACTGATAGCTCAACTGTGGGACCTGCCTTTTAAAGAAGACTAATTAACATGGTAAAGTTTACTGTGGGTCGTGTGCCCCCTCTCATCTTCGGATTGCGCCACCACTCTGTGGCATGTTATAGCGGCCGTGCCAGCTAGATTCTCCGAATGAACCAGATTTCGTTGCGGCGGTTGGCTGCGGCCGGGTTGTTGTAGGCAGCGATGAAGTGGGTCTCAGTGTTGTAGAGCTCGGAGGGGCCCAGGATCTGTGTCAGCTCATTCACTTGACGCATGATCGTAGTCTCGTTGGTGGCACCGCTGAACTCACTGCGGCGGGCAGGATAGGAGGGGTGGGGGGGAAAACGAACGCTGCTTGAGTAAATAAAAAAACTTTAACTGCTGTTAATCTTTTGATTTAAAGCTTCCGTGACTGCAGGGATTCATATTCTTGGTTCTTTCGGTAAAGTCACGTAGAAGGGAAACAATAAAATAATAAAAATATTAAACAATAAAATTATCACGACGTTTCGACTGCAACACAAGCAATCATCATCGGGTGTTAAAACCACAGCAAGAACATTTCTTATTGTTTTATATTTTTATTATTTGTTTCCCTTCGACGTGACTTTACCGAAAGAACCAAGAATATGCTGTTAATCTGTTGTTGGATAAAGGACTTTCCATGATGTGTCAGTCATGGGGGCTGTTTCACTATATTTTACCTATAGAACTATTTATAGAGGATAGCCAATTAGAAATATACATTTTCAGAAGCCAGCCAATTGGTACCGCTTATCCCCTGCGGACTGGCCCATGAGGTTGGCCACAGTGGTGATGAGTGTGGTGGCGGTGATGGTAGTGGGATGTTACCGGGTGTAGACTCGCATGGCCGGGCGCTCCTCAATAGAGACAGTAGGGTCGAAGGGCGTGGGTGGCTCGCCCTGAAGGTGCACGGGCAGGCGGTACCCTACCACCACATGGTGGAACAGAGTGCCCGTTGCCTCGTCCACTTGCACCGTAGTAACGATCGGGATTGTCATGCCCAGGTATGAGCCTTGCACACGCAACGGGGACACGTAGATATATACTTGATGTCTAGGAAGTGTGGTCTTGATCATGAACGCATCCCCAGCACTCCAGGTAATCTGCGCTTTGGGCATATTAAATATGTGTGACGGTTTAAATTTAGCGAGTAATAAAACACGTAGAGATGTTCTGGCACAGCTGGAGTCTGCACGATGGAAAAAAGCTGCCGTCTGTGCCTGGTGACAAGTGGTCATATGATCCTCAGGGGCCTATGAGAAGACATTCGGTAACATGTTCCCATGGCCCGCCTCATAGCATTTGCCACTTAATGTTATTGCAGTCAGTTCCGTGCATGCATTGTAAACACACAAAATATCTCAAAGTTCAAATGTATTCGTTTTAACCAGGTGAGGTCTTAGGTTACAGGATACGTGGATCATTTGCAAGAATTATGTGGGTCACCAAAATGCTAAAAGTAATCACGTTAAATAAAGTACAGCTGTTAAGCAAATAGAAATGTAATAATAGAAAACACGTATTGCAGAAGCAATCGATAAAAAAATGCACAAACATGAATCTACTTAAAAGAAAGTACATTTATTAAAATGAAGGTATGTTTAGAAAAATCACTAATTCCTTGTTTAACTCGTTTTGCGAAAATGTGAAGCATTTTCGCAAAGGAATTGCTGTATATACATTACAGCTAATAAATAAATGGAAACAATACACATTTTAATCAGATTTGCACTATAAAATAAGCCTGCAGTCATCCCATAGCGGGACAAAGAACTGAGATGAGGGTAGGCCGTGTACTATATCATACTGCTCATTTGTGCAGCTCAAGAAAGTACTTCGTCGTCAACTGCTCGCAAACCGTGTAATAACGGGCGCGTTCCGCATTGTACGAATAGTGCTTCCAAATAGAAGAACCACGTTTTCGTGAAAATGCGCTGCGTGAACACGCGCTAAGTGAGGACTTACCGTACTTTTAAACTAAGTGCTTACCGGTGGAATTGTCCCTGCAGATGTATCTCATGATCTTCATGAACGCGTAGCAGATACTCTGCTCGTAGGTGTCCTCTTTGGTTGTCACGCATGCCCACCAGCCTGCCGGGTACTCGCGCTCCTCCACCGGCATGCGACTGTCCCCCTGCATGCCCCCCCCACCCCGCACACCCCGCCAACACAACAGGATTATGGCTGTGCTCTGAAATCCTGGGTAAGATTAACAACGGTGTAGCTGAGGTGGCTGGGTAATTCTGGCGGTCTGAACATTGTGAGTCTGTAACACTGAGATCCTGGATTCCGATATCTGGGTTTCAGCCACCTGTGTTTGGAAGCTACTTAAATGTAGCTACAGGCACATAACATTATTTTGAACTTAAATTCCGTTCTTTCAAAATCCCCAAAGTGTGCCTGTTAATTTTTCTGTTGGGTATATGTGTATTTCTCAAAAATACATACCATTGTTTTCAAAACTTTATTGCATACATTTTTTGTTGGATCTTAGTCCGTGCGCGGTGATTTTTTTATTAGGCTCTGCCTCTAATTAAATCGGTTTCTTAAGTGGTTGGCTGCCTCAAGCGCCAGAGGACTTGGCTGGCACCGCAAAAAATTGTGGATTTAAATCTGGCTTCCAGAGGCCATGATTAAACCAGGTTCTAAAGTGTAGTGAGTTGATGGTCTCAGCGTAGTCCCCAATGACCGATTATACAAAAAAAACGAAAACTACTATCATTAATTTGTGGGTTTTCCTTTCATTTGGCTAAATGCCACTTCTCTTATAAATATTAGTTTGCCTATAACATGATGAACATGTTTCTCTGTAACATTTCAGTTTTCAGTTTCATTGATTAGGTATAGCCCTGTGAGCCATGAGGCTCTTGACTCGGGTGACACCACAACACAACAAACAAAACATGAACAAAGAACATCTTAAAGTGACGACGCGCAACAGAAGCATCCAGGAAAAAAACTGTTAAATCTTCCAGAAAAACATAAAGGGCATGTATCTATGTTGAATTTCTTTCACACCGTACATATCCAATCATGCTAATTGGAGGTGTGGGAAGTAAATCCCTTATCATATGGACACATATCACTTGAATGGCACTCAGAAGCAGTTCTGAGGTCTTATTCTGCAGGTCATTCTCTAACAAATGGGAATGATGCTCTGCCTGGGTTCTGAATAAATATATCCTCTTGTGAAATGATGTATAGAGCACAGTTGTAATAACATTATGGGAAAGACAACAGCCAACAAAACAAAAGTCTTGTTGGTGCACGTGCATTGGGGCCCACAGATGAAAGATCACTCTCAAATGGGTAACTCACATTTAGTAAAGGGCCCCCCTTTCTGTAGTGATGGTGTAAAATATTAAATGGTGATGCTGTATTGGCCGTGGCATACAACCACAAATAACAAAAAAAACCTGTGATTGACGAATGTGGTGAGCTTTTTGTAGGCAACGTTTGGCTCCTAATAAATATTGTAGCGTTGTGGTTAAGAGTCCAATGAGTGCCCATTTGCTCTTGCAACAAGCTAGCATTTGGGCAGTAGCCCTCCTACATTGCTTTAGCATTTACAAGTTCACACATGGGTCAAATAACAGTTTAACTTGCCAAAACATTCTTAATTCCTGGCGATGTTATTTGTTGTGCTATCCACTTCACCTGCTGTGGATTCAACTAGCAGTTGTATCATAGCCTATTGCTCTGTCCTTCAAGGACCCTTTTTAGACGATTTCCAGACCTCAATGTTCTTAGCGTCATCAGTCGAATGGGTGGTGCACCAAAGGCAAATTTACTGGCAAACCTCGCAAGTGATGCAATTGTTTTAATTACGTGAAAAAAGCGTTTAAAGGAATGGTTTTGTTGCCCACAACCTTTGGTGACTGGGCTGAGACCATCAAACACTCTGGCTGACAACCTGCTTGTGTTTTGGAAGGAAGCCCAGATTTTTGTTCCCATTATTTTAGTTTTGTTGGCTTAGCACTTCAATGTGGGTATTCGTATCGGCTGCCTCCTCCCGAGTGCCCCTTGGCTCGCGTTATTTTTCTGCATCGCAACAACACGATTGCTTACCGTCTCGTTCCTCTGGATGACTGTGTAAGGATTCAGTTCCCGGGTTTCTGGGTGATTGTTCATCGACATCTGCTGAATAGGCTGTGCCATTTCTGAAACGGTACAAGAAGGGAATTTGTGGGCAATTTGTGAAGGCGGTGTTTTTAGGGTGGCACAGAATCGTGTGTCTTTTTAATTTGTAAGTGCCCAAAAAATATGAAGGTCCCCCTGGGTAGCCTCTAACAGACTGGTAGGGCAAATGCTGTTTGCGAGCACCAATTAAGACCAGCATGCCACACAATGGTTTGGTGTGGCTAACACAATGCCCACCTGCCTTTGACTCTCCGGTGCGGATGTTTACACACTGCACCTTGCTGAGTCGGCCTCGTTGAAGCCCAAGACCGGTTCATATATCACTGACCAATGATGTTATCCGTGATTGGGAATCATACTTTAAATATATAGTTTATATACAAAAACTAAACAATGACAATCACCCCCCATGGAGTCTTTCACAGACTGTTTGCAAGTACCTATGATAACGGCATGGCACACAAGGCAGCAGTGTGTAGCCAGCACCACGTCTGGCATATACACACATAGATTCACACCCATGCAATTGTCATCTTCCCCAAGGTCTTATAACCTTGCAAAATTTAAGAAAAGTGTTAACATTTATCTTCTTTGGGTCTTTCGGTAAAGCCACGTATATAGAAAAAAATTATCAAAATGATAACACCTGAAGACGATTGCTTGTGTTGCGATCGAAACGTCGTGATATTGTTATTATTTTGATTATCTTTTCTATCTATGTGGCTTTACCGAAAGACCCAAGGAATATGAATTCCTGCAGTCACGAAAGCTTTGTCAAGATTTAACATTTATCTGTTACAACTTGGATGGTGGCTGTTTGTTGCTGACTGCTTGTAATTGTGGGCCTTCGGGCCTATGCTCAGCAAATTTGTTAAATTTATTTTATATTACTCAACAATCGCATGCTCAAGCTTTCCGTAAGAGAAACGCAAAGTGACAGAAAATACTCGTGAGCGTTTTTTTGTTGTTGCCAATTTTGTTTACGTGCTGCTGTCTATTAGCACAAAACAAATGGTGTTTTGGACAGCGCTCTGCTTTAATTCTAGATTTGAAGTTTTCTTGACTGCAATGATCCATACTCTTGGTTCTTTTGGTAAAGTCACGTAGAATGAGAATAAAACAATAAAACAAAATAAGACAATAAAATTCTCACGACGTTTTGGCCACAACACAAGTATCCTTCTTCAGGTGAAGGAACAGAACTGTCGTTGTAGCCGAAACGTCGTGAGAATTTTATTGTCTTATTTTGTTTTATTGTTTTATTCTCATTCTACGTGACTTTACCGAAAGAACCAAGAAGATGAAATAAAATAAAGTTAATCAAATCACGACGTTTCGGAAGCCACACAAGCCTCCGTCATCAGGTGGGATAGTCACAGCAAGAAGTAATTTGCTGTAGTGCTGTGTTGTTTCTAAAACGTCGTGATTTGATTAACTTTATTTTATTTTTTACCTATGCGCTCTGCTTTGTTATGGCGCTGCAGCTGCCAGCAGCATATTTAATCGGGACCACTCGCAGCGTGGATTGCTCGTGAAGCGTGACTTGGAATGCCATGCCACCGGCTCTTGGGGCACCATTGTAATGTCCAAGAGCTGCCAGCTATGTGTATGTGGAGAGCAGTTATGTAAGTCCTAGCATAGCACACTCAGATGTGTCTGCGCACTCCCTAATGAGCAGTTAGCTGAGAACAAATGGGTAAAAGGTAAAGGTGTAACCCTGCAATTGCTTGCTCACACCACTGCTGGCAAAAAAGCCTCCACTAATAGGCAGCTCAAGTGACTCAATCGGTTCTAACCGTTGCATCATATCAGCATTGTGATCAAAAATAAGAAGAAGGAATGAGGCTCTTTGCATGTAGGCCTGTGTGGGCAAATGGTTGACATGAATTTGGCGGGTGCGCTCGGAAAAATATTCCAATTGTATTTTATAAATCACAATTAATGAGCACAGGCCAAAACCCATGTATGTATGTATTTTGAACTTCTTTCGCACCATACGTAGCCAACTGTCATAATCAGAGGTGCGAATGGCATATGACACGGATTGGACTGGCAGTGAGATGATTGCAGTCCAACAGATAACACGTTTCTTGAATTGAGCAAGGTGTTAAGAACTTGGGAGAGTAGGTGATAGAAGGGAGTCTCAAAGCCAGAAACAGCATGTATTTGTGATATAACAAAAAGAATGAACATCTTTTATAAGTTTAGCAAGGTTACGGGAATCTGTGATAATTGGTTATGGAAAGGAGTTCTAAAGTAAAGCAGTTTTGGAAAAAAAATTATGAACCACACGCTACCACATCCGCCACCACCATCATCATCATCTAGTGGCATCCAAACAGCGTCCATCTGATGGAGGTCTGCCAATGGTTATTTTACAGCTGCGGAAATGCACACTTGAATCAAGGCTTTTATTTAGGTAGAGCGCATGTATTCATTTTACATGAAATTAGTTTGTCAATCCACTGCTGGATCAGAAGTAGGGGTTGTTCGACTATACTTTTCCACACTGGTCCAGTGCAGGATTATTAAGAGAGGGGACCCAGAACCTGTTCATATATCACTTCTCTGTTGCTCTTAGCCACTGCCAAGAATCTATTTCTTCTATTCTTCAGTGCATGCAATTACAATGCAGTTGTGTGTTTGCTTAAAGATGTAAAGGCGGCAAAGTTAGTTGCATTGCTTAAAAAAATCAACGTCCATGATGGTGGTGTTACAGTAGATAATAAACAAATTTTCCCACTACTATCGCATGGCCTCTATTTTTCTATTTTTAAATTGGACGATAGCCCACGTGCTCAAAGCCAACAACCACCACACCACGACATGATTAATGCGAACATTTTAATGGTGGACCTTGGGAAATGACTGGGTCCCACAGCTGTGGGGATCTAAGAAACGAAGAAATGGTGATGAGGTGTGAACAGAAAAGGCTCTTGGAGTGTCCTACTGAGAGATAGGGCCTGTTGAGAGATATGGCCTGCTTAGAAGTTAAGAGATTCAGATCAATTTCGATTTAAAGCTTTCGTGACTGCAAGGATTCATCTTCTTTGGTTCTTTCGGCAAAGTCACGTAGAATGAGAATAAAATAATAAATTAATAAAATAACTTTACACAATAAAATTCTCACGACGTTTCGGTCACAACACAAGTGGCCTTCTTCAGGTGAAAGGAACCAAAGAAGAAGATTCAGATAAGTCACATGAAAGTGAGAAATGTGATGGGGATAAGAGAGTGAGATGGACAAGAAAGATATGAGAAACCTGAAGAAAATAGTCAGAAACGTCTTAACGTTCATACACGTAAAATATGCCATCTTGTGGTCCGCCGGCATACGCTAGTTGTATTATGTGGCTCGTCGGAAAGCATAGGTGAAGGACCCTGCCCGAGTGCATCATCGCCGTCATTGTTTTGTCCTGGGTGGGTACTCCAACCTCTGGGCACCACCACCTGATGGGTACGAGCGATGTCCTCCCAGTAGTTGAAAAGCCGCTCCTCCATGGCTTCATTGCTTCTGTTGTCCATCAGTCCGCTCGCGTTGTCCACACCTTCGCCGCTCGTGCAGTTCGAGCCTTCCTTGGTCTCCTCCGACATTGTGTCCAGGTCATCCATCGTGATGAGCAGTTGCCCTGCGTGGGGCTGGCCTGGCATGGCCCGGGCCTGGCCTCCCACCATACCGCTGCCACCACCGAAACGACAGCTGTCCTGCTCCATGTCAATCCTGTGAAGGGGAGTGGCGTCGTTTGCCATTGGCAGCTCCACACGCGTGTTTCTTTGTTGTGTTTTTTTCTAAAAGTATTCCATTGGTGATATCGACCTCATGTCACAACACGGGTAATTTATTTGGAAATTTTGGCATAGCGATTTATGGACTTTGAAGAAGGGTCATTACCCAAAATGTCAACTATTATATAGTTTTCCTTTTAAGGCTTGCAGTGTCATTGACAAACGTGTTGAGTATGGTGTCAGTGAATACCCCGCAGAATATATTTTTTCACACGGCTTCTAAACAAATTCTTGAAGTAGGCGTAACACTTTCCCACAAGCTCAGCTTTCAGATTGTTTATTTAATGTTGACTCAAAAATGTCATCATATATATAAAAAAATGTGTGGGTATCTCTTTGTTATGATCAACAAGTGCTTTCAGACATCCGCCACACCCACAGTGGCTTGATTTTGATTGTTCATTATGGGGTCGTAGAAACCTCAGATGTACGGATTCTTGCAATGCACTGCACTGACTTCAAGGCCTGAGAACATTGGGCTACATTGGCAGCAGGTAACATGTTTTGTGTGTTGCACAACAGTGAGAAAAAAACATCCCTTTGTTGGCCACAAGTGGCGGCAAGTTTCCCCTTTAATTATAAAGCTCATTATTACAAATCCCATCAACAGGAGTGGTTTGTTCATGGCTGCAAATTGTGGCTTATATATCAGAAAAACAGAATGTTGTACAAATGCACAGCAATCCTATTGCACCCTGATTGGAGGACAACACTTTTCAAGTTGCTTTTAACGGGGCTGCACGGTGAATTGGCCTGGTAACTCACCGCTAATATTATCGGTTTTAAAGCGGGCAGTCGCCCATGATTCTACCGGGTTTTCAAGTCGTGAGTTGATGGTCTTAAACCAGTCACTAATAACTGTGCAAACAAAGGATCAGGTAATATGGCAAAATTCCAGCTCTGAGATTTTATATCACTTTTACTTAACATTACTCTCTGTAGCAGGGCAGATGAGAAAGTACTTCACTCAACTGTGTTGAACAGAGGTCACTTGAATGGAGCTCATAAGTAGATCTGTTTTATCCGCTTCTGTAGGCCATTGGATTCATCTTATCAGGATAAGATTCCAGGAGCCTGATTGAGTGTTTTTTTTCCAAGGGCAGTGCAGTAAGCATATTTTAACTGTGCAGGGTTGGATAACCCTATTCATGTATGAATCAGTATAATTCTTACATTTTTCTACTGCATAACTGTTTTCATGAGGATTGAGAGGCTTTCCCATTTTAATTGTTGAAATACTACATGTGCATTTATTGTTATTATTTGTTTCCCTTAAAATCTTTTAGCAGAATAATAATTAAGCTCTTCGCGAATGAGAATTGTATTCTGAATGCCCGAGCAGTCTCATTGGGTCCTCGATCTTGGTGGACCTGACCTGGGCTGTGTTGATGCTGTGCTCATATTATCACGGATGCCGGTAAGTCATCAACGTACATTGGAAACAGAAAAACAGCAGCCAGTACCGTGCGCAAGTTAGCTCGTTGCCATAAATAGCCGGCGAATTGCAGAAGTGTGTTGGGGATTTGGTCAGGAAACCTTGGATTAAACAAATAACACCAACAGCAGCCCCCTTTTAGGTGTACCCTCTACTTTACACCACTTTTGTTTTTCCTGTCAACTGTAATGTCCTCCGCTGTTGCATGTGCCTTCGTGAGGTTTTGTACCTGCTCCTCTGCGAGGGATGCTGCCGTGGTTGTAATGGTTATCACACTGGACTTGCAATCTAGAGGTCGCCAGTTCGACTCAATCTTCCGGTCCACTGTTGAAACAATGGGGGGGCAAGTTTCTTAAATAATCCCCTCCCTCTTACCTCTGTCCATCCAGCAGCATATGTGGTATAACCAAAGTCGATCGGCAGACCGCGTGTGGTGGGGTAAAGTGTGGGTATTCCGACCTCTTCCAAGACGTCTGGCCAGTGTCGTAGGTTATGCCAAAACACCATCTAAAGAGGAACTTTAGAGTTCCCTTTTGTGAAGCCCCTTCTGCCAGCAGTGGTGTAGGTAAACAGTTGCCTGATTTCACTTTTACCCCTGTAATAGAATGCTGGTTGTGGTAAAGCGCTCAATGTTTTGGGGATGAGGGGGTTAGCTCGGCATTTTCAATCACTATCACGCCAGCGAAAACGAGCCTCTGCACTTTTTAGTGGATCTTAATGCAACTGGTGGTTGTGCGCTTTGTCTTTCAATGGATAGTCTTGCTACTGCTACGTGGATTTTCACGATTGTGCTGTGCAGCTTTCCGGGATGTGTGCCGTTCAGCATTCAGAAGCTCACATCGTGTGGTGCAAAAGGTCCGGACATCGTGCTGGACGACACTGTATAACCTCAAAAAACACATTGGTGAGAGTATTTTGTCCATAGCTTTTTAGAACGTTTCCTCGAATTAATTACTAGTCCTAAATCTACCGTGCCACTCGGTGCAGAGATATTCATAGTTAGTAGGTCGGGTTAGACTTTGCGAGTGTAATGCGCTTTGGCAGCAGAGTAATTTAACATTCTTCTTTCTTATTCATACCATGTGACCTTAATTCCTGTGGCTTCTTAGCCTGAATCACATTGTGTCTTAGACATGAAAAAAACAGCAACATTCCCACCATGGACAAACAATAACAACAAAAATCTAAATGTCAATTAAGCACTTAACAACATTTTATGATGCACAGATTAATCACGCAATCTGTCAACATCAGGCATTGTCAGTCAACTGCTGGATCAAGGTCTCCCCAGGCTACATCTGTCATGGGGGATGTTTGGAAATACTTCACTCTGCCACCGCTCACCCTCCCCCCCCTGAAAAAAATGAAACAACAAAAAATGTTACTCCCATTTTACATTTGTGCAAAATGAAATTGAATAACACGATAAGATTTACTCATGAGTAAGCTATCGCACAATTCACCACAAGTGGAACCTATACATTATCTGGCCCGTGGAGTAAGGGTTGCAGATGGGAGTTAAGTTACATTACATGTGGTGGCATCTTCACAGGCTTTGGCACCTTCCTCCTAGAGCAGACAATAGAGCCCGTTCTGTATGTGGTCATGTCGAGCCCTTTTTAAATCCATGCTATATGAGGGCCTCTCCATGCCATGCAGCTCTTGGAGGATATTTGAAAGCATTTCACCACTCTGGCTTAGACACCTGAAGACAGAGCATAGCTGTTTGTACTCTACATGGTGGTTACCCATCCAAGGACTATCCAGGCTCAACCCTGCTCAGCTGCTTGGATCCGACAAGATCGGGCACATTACGTGTGATTTGGCTGCAGCCAGTGTTGCGGTCGCTGATTAAATCTCTGATGAAATCTCTGAGACACCGCTGCAGTGAGAGAGGCCATACAACTATTGCTTCTGCCACCGTCGCGCATATGAGTGCATTTTGCAAAAAAACACGCTCTCCCGCCGATGATGGGTGGCAGATGGAAACTCCACGATTATTTCCCACTCACATCCAAAATTAGCCCCGTGAGGAAGTCCGGCATTCGATTAATATTAGAGAGATGCACTAAGGCTATAACGGCCGCATTGTAGTCATTGGTACACTGAGAATGGTTCTGGGTATGGACCGAGCCAGAGGCATCGATTTTTTTATCCAATATGGGGCATCGGCTATGGTCTATCCACTGCTCGATGGACTGGATGAATTCCACCCCAAGCTGTTGCCATGTTTTTTTTTTTTAAACCACGTATCAAAGACTGCCAATCTCCGATCACTGTCGTCATCATTATCAACGTTATCGACATCATTGCCACGATGACACTTTTCTCTTGATCATCATAATCATCATTATTATGAATATGAGTGGGTCACAAAATGGTTATCGGCGTGCAAGCTCCAAAACACATGTGGAAATGTATGTGCCCTGGGCAGGATTGAGCCTGGATAGTGCTTTAATGGACAATTGCCATGCATGGCTACGGACTGCAGGGCTGCGAAGTCGAAAAGCAGAGGGCAGTTAATACAAATCCATTGTTGTACTGTTCTACACTGGCACGTCTACGCTCCATGCCTTGAACTCGCACTTCTGACGAGCATGGTGAAGTATGGTCAAATAATCCCTAAGTCCCGCACAACATGGAAGGACCTCATCTAGCAGTGGATTGACAAAGGGCTGTACATGTACATATGCCCTGCATACCACACACGCGCACACACACTGTCGCCTCTCATCTTGCAGTTGTCCCTCGCGTAAGGGTGGCTGTTAGTGGCAGTTGGCTGCAGCTGCCAGCCGATATCACAGGGAGGGGTCAGCATCATGAGCTATTATCATTTCATGCATTCATCTCCCCATGCTTCTTTCTGCACTTTTCACCCTTTGTTCCAGTTTGGTTTTTACAGCCTCTAAATCTGAGAGAGCGTTTACTAGACAGGACACAGGCTCCTGTAGAGGTGGTGTTAAAACTGTATTGTTGCATCACCCCATGCAGATGTACCCCACTGTGCGATAACATTTTATCATTCAGATCGCCTTTCTCAACCCACTGCTCGCTGAGGGCCTCCCCATGTCGTGTCGGTCATGGGGCTTGTTTAATCCACAATACTTAACAACGCTGGTTAATGAGGCTTGGTAAAGGGGTGGGGGGGAACAGAGTGGGTGGGTAACCAGGACAAGCTGATATATCACTCGCCATTGATGTTAGCCGTGGCCAGGAATCAAACTCAGGTCCATTGGGTGCATTGTGCAGTGGTCCAACTCCCGTGTCACTGCTCTGCCGTGGAGTATAAATGTGACCAATAGTACGATCCATGCACTGTTCATCATCATCATTACCATAATTATCAATGGCAATTAATATAAAAATGTTTTTCATCATTACTATTATTGTGGACAATGAACAACATTGTGATCCACCAAGTGGCTGCTGTGATATTTAATGAATCTCAAAGTCTTGTTCTTGGTGGATTAAAATGTTTGTACGTGTCGAATGATGCCATGGACACCCCTGCAAGCAAGATGTGCAGTCTCAAGGGGTGTTTTCAGGTGATATATTTCAATAGTTAATAGAACAAAACATAAATGATTGAATTTAGAAAAGCAGTTGGGAGGATGAAAGTGGGGGGAATAATACAATGCAACGTTAAGCTAAAGCAGGGGTTCTTTGATCTTTGCAACCACAAAACAACCTTTTGCATATTTAAAAATGAATATTCATTCGTAAACAATAGGACACTTCAAATAACGTATGTAAGAAGTGACGTTTTTCCAGTTGTGTTTGTTATAATGGTTTTATGTGACTGGAAACTACTAGAAGCTTCTGTATTCACTCCAATGTTTTTGAACCTAATCGTGACCCTGAATTGTGACCCTGAATTGTGACCCTGAATCGTGACGATCCATGAAATTGCTGATGAGAGTGGTGGAGGGGCAGGCGGTGGGGTGAATTATTCCGGTCCCTACGATTCATGCCATCAAAACATTTTGAGACGGGCAGGGAGAAGGGGCTTACAATTTGAGCGGTCTGAGCTGGACTAATTCTAACAGCTGTTGAACCTAAATGTTATTTTAGAATGGCGATTAAAAAAATCTCCTCCGTACTGCTGCAGGTACTCCTCCACCACCCTCACAGGTGTTTTCATCAATCGTCGGGTGGTGACGTGGTAGCGCATTTGCCGCTTGTTGCAGAGGTTCATCGTTCGAATATAGTGGGCGCCTTGTTTATTACTCCGATATAATAGCCAGGATAATACTCTGCACCGTCTGTTTCACATAGTAGACGATGAAGATCCCCCGTGATGTTAGTTGCAAGAGTTTGCCATTGTGTTTTTTTCCCAGCATCAGGATTTATTAGAAAATTACACCGCAAATTACTCATTGGGATTATATATAGCAGCAATTGTATGTGTCATGCACCCTCCGTCACCCGAAAGATTTATAAACAAAGTTGTCACGTGAACAAATGCGGCAATTTAATCATTGCTTCAGCACGCCGGTATGCTGGAGAACGATCCACGCCATTTAACAATTGGGTACGTCATTTCGCTGGTAGTTGCAAATGGCATTATTTGGTAATAACCAAAATTGTAAACATCTATTCCCATCTTAGGCCTTAAATAGGTGGCGTGATGTCGTCAGCATGCCCCCCCCCCCCCCCCGCAGGTGCGCAGGAAGTGATGCCTAGAGGGTCATGTATTTGCGTTAAATATACGATGTATTATGTAATTTAATTGGGCACAGTAGCCATGCACTACAGGAGACTCTCAAATGGCTATTTATGTGCTGTAGATAATGCAGAACTGCAAACTACACAGCAGCATGCTAACGTGGACATTTAATCTCTTGAGACTTAGTCAACGCAATTTGGGTGCTTGAAATGTACATGTTTACATTTTAAATACTGTAAACAGTGCATAGGCCCCACTGAATGAAAATCAGGATCAAAAGCAGGATCTAAAGCATACTTATTACACTCTGCCTGAAATGTGTGCAAATGCTTGAGATGTAGTAAACGCAATGCTGTGGTACCCATATTTTTCATCATGTGTGTGACGACCGTTTGTGTTATGGTCGAAACGTCGTGAGAATTTTTATTGTTTTATATATAATTTATTATTTTATTGTTTCCCTTCAACGTGACTTTACCGAAAGAGCTAAGAATATAAATCAAATAAACTCTAAAATTAGGCCAACAGAGAGCAGTGAGCGTTTAGGGGGGGGTAGGGACGGGGGTGGGTGGCTCGCGGCTCGCGAGGACCGGAATTTCTAAGAACGGGGCTGTCGAGTGTGGAGTGGAGTACAGAGCGTGCTAACGCAGCTATTCAGTTGCTGGCGAACACGTCTTGCGATATTACCTTGATTGAATGCCCTGTGGGGATTTAAATGCTTTCGGCATTCTGGGCATGGCATGAAGCTGTATCTGGTGTTGGTGTTGTCTATGAAAATCGCTGTTTCTGAAAGTCATCGGGAAAACAACCACAACTCGCCTTCCCTATTATGGCTCAAGAACCGCGGTTTGGCGATGTGATTGTTACAAGGTAGGGGGAGGAACGGTGTCGGATGGAATTCAGGGCGCTTAAGCCAAAGACCTGCTTTTGGGAGCATGTTTCAGGACAGCAAGTAGATAGCATGGAGGTACTGCAGAGTCTACACTAGAATACTTGTACAGAGTTTGCTATCACGGGTTTTCAAATGCCGGCATTACTAGACCACGTGGACTCATTGTACATAACACGTAAAATCATGCACGCACGTAGAACAGAATAGAGGACACCACCGAGTACAATCAAGTGCGTTGACACCTACTGTAGCGGCGCTTACAGTGAATGTGGCGTGGGTGTTTAGACACTGTTAACAAAGTGGCGAGAATGCAAACTTTGGACGCTTTTCAGAGAAAAGAGAGAGGGTGCCAACTCTGGCACTCACACACAAGGGCCTAGGCAATGCAGTGCGCCCGGCGTGCCAACTCGGCAGTTCTCAATGCTGGGCACCCTGTGGATACGGTACAGAGCGATGCCAGAACAGGTGCACAAATGAAACGCTCTATACGGTCAATGGGTCCCAGCAGGGATTGACGTGTCCGGGTCTGAGTAACATTCATGTGAGTACCACGTGTGAATACCGTACTGGCTGCGTAGTCGTGGATACTTGGGCAAGCGCAGGAGAAGGATTGGCGGTTGCGGCGGCGACTGGCAGACGATGGACAGACAGGTGGGGGATGACAGCTCAGGTGAACACGTGAGCACACGCAAATCTCTGTCGGTATCTTTATATATATGAAACAAAAGTATTTTTTAGTTGTTTATTTATTACAATGGTACATTCGAAACGTGTTTAGTAGTTGCGCGAGCGGGCGAGCGTGTTCGTACGTGCGGTCTACCCTCCCGGTGTCGCGCTCTCTCTCTCTGGGCTGGCTGGCGACTGTTTCTCGCCTGTTGACGTGCGAGCTCGCGCAAGCGCGCAGAGGACACCCCGCGGTGGAGGCGGAGTTCTGAGAAACGGGGAGGCGGAGTGATGAGGGGCTGGGCCGGGGCTGTGTTAGGATGGGCCAAGTTAGAGTGTGTTGAGCTGGGCTCTCTCTGTTGGGTTTGGTTGTCGCACTGGGCTGTGGTGGGCCACACTCGTGATGTGTTGGGCTGTGTTAGGTTGCATTCGTCCTGGATGTTTTTTTTTTTACCGTGTTTGGTTTGGCTATAGTAGGCTGTGTTGAGATCTATTGGACTGTCAGACTGGACCCAAGTGCATTATTGAGCCATGTTTCAGTTTCAGTTTTCAGTTTCATTTATTTGGTATAGCCCTGTGAGCCATTCGGCTCTTAAATCGGGTGCAACCGCAACAAACAAAAAATAAAAACATGAACAAGAAAACATCTTAAAGTGACTATGTGTCTGTGCAAACAGAAAATCCAGAAAAAAACAGCATAATATTCCAGAAAAAGCACCGTACACTAACGCTGTGTGCAAAAATCCCAGTGGGATGCAAGTCAAACAACAACAACCACAAGACAGCTTATATTAAGGCCATCAGTCTAATTCCGTACTAAACAAACAAATATGTTGGGATGGGATGCGCTGAGGCTTGTGTTATGCTCTGGTATGGGCTGTGTTGGGTTGGAGAATGTTGGCCTCATAGTAAATTACGTTAATTGTGACCAGGTCGGAGCCCATTGAGATCACAAGTCTTTTTCACAGGGGAGAGCTGACACAGCAAAACAGACAAATTCTAAATGTCCTTCATACACAAAACATACACGGGGAAAATAAACATTTAAGCAATGTCGTGTAATGTTGGCCAGTGCCACGTCTGTTCATCGTATGGCATAACGCATTGAACCAATGTGAACGCATGACAGAGACTCGCACGTACAAACTTTTCACAGCCCCGAGAAGGCTACAGCAGGAGAGTGGCCGGTGTAATGAAACAAAATACGTAAAACGTAGGATTTCATAGCCAATGCCCTGATAAGGCGTTGGTGACACCTATGTTTCCCTTCCAAGACGTCTGGGACCAGCATAGAGGAGTGGGAGGCCCTTCGCCAGCAGCGGCCATGCATGCGTGGCATTTGAATCGTCCAATCCCGTTTGCTGGCAATATTCCCACCGCAGGGGGGTGGTGGGGTGGGGGGGGCATGGATGTGCCGACTTGGCCAGGGCTTACAGCTGACCTTGCATTGGAAAGTAAATAAACACCAGGGTGCTTTTTCATAAAGTCAATGTGATTTCTGTCAGAAATTAAAATTAACTGGATGCGCATCTCCCATTTACAGCCCTGAACCATTCGTTGAAATTCCATGTTCATATGACAGGGGTGAGGCTATCCATAGGACAACCACTGTTGACTTCCCCACAAAGTGGTAATTCGTTTATCGACCCCCAGAGAGATGATAGGCTGAGTCAATCTCTAACATGGATTTGAGCTCCTAATATTCCAGCTGTGAGCCACCAACTCTGCCGTTGAGCCACCTTCACGGTACACAATACCCCCTTGTTGTTTTTGTTGTGTCTTCATTCAGGACTTGGTTCACGTTGGGCTTGGTGGGAAGAGAATGAACGCAATGTTCTTTGTGGGAGTTGGATGGGAGCGGTGCCCGAGTGATTTGATTAAGTCGTGCAAATGGGATCTATGTGATTTGACACCGAGACATTTGTTTCAAGCTAAGAAAATACTCTTCGCTTGAAATGGCCAACATGTTTACATGCTAGAGTTTACAATGTATGCAGTTCCTGACTTTGTTTTACATCCAGGAAATTCAAACTGTACTTTTTTTTAAACACGCACGTTATTTTTTGCCGCTTTATAGATTGTGTTGATTTATTGAGATTTCTTCAAACGTGTGACCATGACAGAGGAAATTGAATGCCCTTTCTGGCATTTACATTTTTTGTTTTCCTGTAAATGTGAGATTGTGTATTTTGGATGAATGCTCTCAAATTCCTTTTTTATGCCACAATTATTACCTTTGCGTGCAATAATCCTGCCGTTCTGTGCTGGCTTTCACACTGGACTTACAATCAAGAGGCCGCCGGTTCGATTCCATCTTCTGGGGTGGCAGAAACAATGATGCAAGTTTCTTAAATCCCCCTACCTCTATCCACCCAGCAGTGTAATTGCTTACACCACATTTAGTCGATTGACATGTCGCGTGGAAGAGTAGACCAAACATATCCTCATGAGTGGCTCTCTCAAGCTCCTCTCTAGTGGAAGCCCTTCTGCGAACAGTCAGTGTCGCTCTGCTCTAACGAGCATTGACATTTCACCCATCTTCACCAGCGGCCCTGAGCCAGCGGCGAACACTCTGCATGAGTTTAACACGTAGAATTTTGCGACCAATAGTATTCATAATAAACGTTTTTGGGTTAGATCGCGTTATTTATAAATGTGTCGTAACCCTCCACCACCTGACACGGCCAATCAGCAAAAAAAGTGTCACGTTGACAAAAGACAAATAGTTCACTACTTTAGCCCACTGGTGTGTTGAAGAGTGAATCCACAACATGTACAGTTTTTGAGTACGGCGTTTCGCTGGTAATTACATCCAGCATCATCGGGAAATTCGCCAGAATGGTGAAGCCCTCACTTACTCCCGGTCTTTTACAGAGCAGCAGGGTGACGTCATCATTTAACTCATTCAGATGCAGTGATTTGAGGAGGGGGGGGGAATATTGTAATTATATAATGGATTGGTAATCAGTCAATGGTTATGATTAGTAATGAGCACAGTGATACTCGTTTTAGTGACCTCATAAGGGGTGATAGGCTAGGTCTAACGCTTTTAACTGGGGAAGTGAACTTGCAATCTAGATATCGCGAGTCCTGCTAAGGAGTGATGAGCGCCAAATATGGCAGAAGAAAATTGCGCGTGCGTAAGCACGTACACAACAAAGCGCATTGTTAGTAGCACGGATGTGGCGCATTTTTCATATACACCTGCGAGCACGCAAATGCAGTTCAGCAAGATCATACAGAAAGCCTCCGGCTCTTTTGGTTAATCTTCTGCACACAAAATAACATTTTAACACTTGAGGATTTAATCTTGATTTGAAGCTTTCGTGACTGCAGGAATCCATACTCTTTGGTTCTTTCGGTAAAGTCATGTAGGTAGAAAAAATAATAGATCACGACCTTTCGATCGCCACACAAGCAATCGTCCTCACCTGAGGACGATCACTTGAGGATTTGTCTGTATTTTGGATTTTGGGTTAAAGCCATTCATGCGTTGCCAAGCGTTTGCGTTAGTGCAAAAGTTAGTGCACTGTGTTAACGTGTATGCTCTCTATGTGTATATATACGTGTGTGAATGTATGTATTGTCATTGTGGGGAACGGTAGCGTAGCGGTTAAGAGCGCTGCGCTACGAACCTGGCGACCCGAGTTTAATTCCTGCTCACGACCAACACCAGTGACGATTATCTGAATTGGCCGTAGGCCTCCCCTTGGCATGTATGTATGTTCCGATTTTTTCACACCGTATCTAGCCAACCATGCTAATCGGAGGTGACAAAGGCGGCCGGCCGGGCATGGTGCTGGCCACCCACCCCCTCGTGCTATGCCATCCTTCATAGGTGCTTACGAACAGCACTTGCCACAAAAACCTGTTAAGGCTATATGGGGGTATTTAACTTGATCTTGTCATTCAAATATACGCATGTATGTATGTTGAGCATGGCTCTTGGTGTGTGCACAGCTCAAGCCCAGGATGTTTACGCCAATGAGCGCCAACTGTTAGCGTTTCTGCGTGAGTGAACTCCGCTCCATGGCTGAACGCCATGCTTCTGGTGCACGGCACACATGATCTCGCACCAGCTCTGTCGTCACGATCGGCGTGGTCATTTCATGCCGCTATGCCTGCATTATGCCGAGATCCCCAGCTCACGTTTTGTTGTTGTTGTCGAGGTTGCTGAACACAGTCCCAAAGGTGAAAAATGCCGAACGGCCAGTAACAAATCACACGCACACTGCTGCTGGTGTTCTAAATGTGTTTGTTGTATTGGGCAAGGTTATAATAACTTGAGAAAAGAGATGGGATGGATTTCTTCTTTAAATCATGGTTACTGAGCACAAGCCCAAAATACTGAGTGGCCAGAAACAGACGGCATTCACTTTGGGCTTGGCTAATAATGATTGATTCGTATCGATTTACTAACCTTTTGCAATCCGTTGTTGGATGCATGCCTACGTATACCATACCGATTATGGGAATTATTTTACAATACTGCACCACGCGCATGGTCAGTGCAGGTTTTTTTAAGCTAATGCCCAGGACCGGTTCAGATATCACTTACATTCATGTTAGCCGTTGCCAGGAGTCTCATTCGTGTTGCCGGGTTTGTAGTACGATGCGCTAATCACCACGGCGATAATTTAAATTGATATTAAAGCAATAAAATTACATGATGTGATTACTTATGGCTGGGCACTTTCTAATGGGTAGTCCATGGTCCTGCTTAAGGTAATAAGAATTTAGTCGTGCCGATTCATTAGTATGACGAATAAGAGTTAATTACTTGATAACGCACTCATTTAAAATGTTTATCACATAATTCATTGTTATCGACCACATAAAGATATTGGAACCACCAAAGTTATGCCACAGGAGGTGTGGGAGAGTGTGCAGGGGAACAGTGAGTTGAGAAAGGAAAGGTAGGAGAGTGCGTGGAGGCTTGCAGAGTGAAATGAGACTGGAGAGGTAGGAGGGATTTCCACATGGCCTTTAACTAATGGTTGTGCTACACGGATCTGATGGGATTATTTTATTTGATAGATTATTCTTTTATTTTTATCCCCATTTTTCGGTGTGCATGCTATTCTGTGAATCCTTTTATTTGAATGATGACAGCGCTAAGGACAATGGAAAAAAAAGTTTGAGATTGAGTGCCTTCAATGGATTACACCCATTCCGTAAAACACGTTGTTCTGCCCTTGACATTTTAGT